CCTCCCTTCAAGATTGCAACAAGAGATTGGAAACTTATAGAAGAAAATGTTGAAATTTCTCCATATTGATGTCACTCAATTGATAACAAGTCATATTTGGTTTAATCATATTGATCTTAAAGACCACCAAAGGATGTGGTGCAGTGAATGAGACTATTTTTTCCTTAATCAGAGGTCTCGAGTTCGAGCCCTTGGTATGGAAAAATCCTTGGTAGGGAGCGCTTCCCACAGAATGGGGCCATACGATGCGCGAATCCAGATATAATCGGGCTCTAATACGGATACCAAACATCGGGTGGAAAACCAAAAAAAAAAAAATTGATCTTAGAAACTTATTATCAAGATTCACATATTTATATCTAGCCAAACTTGGAGGGGTAAAAAAACCCATAATAAAAGGATCCTTCATGTATTTAACATAATGTCTTTCACTCTAAAAAATAATCTGTAATTAAGCACAAAAGGATTTTTGATTAACTGATGCAACTAACCATTAAGTCCATAGCTGACCATGGTTGTCGCTATCATAGATTCCACAGTCGGCTATATGGTCGGTTCGAGCAACAATCATTTTGATGGACCCTATTATCATTTTCCTTATTTTTGGTCGGCTGTATATCCTAACCTCATTCCTTTTTTCGATTTTTTCAAGTTTAAATTCTGTGGTGTATAAATTTTTTTCTCTTATCAGATTAAATTGACCTATCCTCATTTATTTGCACTTAATGGAGGTCTGAATCTTAATTATTGAGATCTCAAACATTAAGTGCGTTCGTTTTTAAAGTCTGAATCTTAATTATTCAGATCTTAATCATTAAGTGTTTTTTTTACTTTACAATCACTTAATGAGTCTGAATAAGTCTCTATGATTAAGATCTATAACAGAAACTTAATTTCATTAAGATGCTATCACATATTCATTATTAACTGCCGTCACCGCCTATCATTATCAACTACCACCATGCCGCCACCACCACCTCTGCCTCCACCACCACCACCGCCACGCCACCATCATCCTTAATCATAATCATAGCCGCCACCATTATCGACCATCACCATCCACTATTCCCACCACTCCGACCACCATCATTCTCCCCTACAATAAACACTCATCCACCTCAACTACCACAACTGACCACCTCATCACCATCAACAACCACAACTGACACTGCCCATCATTATAACCTACCACCACCAACCCACCACCTCACCACCTTCCTCAGTCACAATTACTACCACCACCCGCCATTATTAACTATCATCAATTACCACCACCATCCTCAATCATAATCCACTACAAAAAAAACTGGATTTAGCTACGAACGTCGTTGCTAATCTGTCGCTAAAATGCTCGTTGCTAGAAGAATCTTTTGATAATCCGTCGCTAAATAAGATTAGCGACGGATTTTTCTGTTTAGTTACAGATTTTGTCCGTCGCTAAACCCTAGTTTTTTTAGTAGTGATCGCCACCACTACCAATCACTACTAGCTACTAGCATGAACCACTATCATCAACCAAAACTACCACCAACCACCGCCTCTAATCGGCATTCA